AGAAGGAAGTCAGCAAATGAACTCTGCGACGAATTTCCAACCTAGAGCGTCAACCTGAGAAGGGTTGTAGGCGTACTTGTGTAAGTGCTGCGATTCTTTAAAAGAATTACATCGAGACACGATCGGCGAGGTTATTTGTACTGTTTGTATATGCGTGTGGTGTGTCAATTCAATTGGTGATTTTTGAATTCATTGTGTTTACTTGTTGTTTTCATATCTTGTTGTTGTGCACAATTTCGTTAATATTTTCGTCGTGGTTACTTCTGAAGTTGTTTCAAGTCTTCTACATCCGTGAATGAATTGATTGATGTTAAAGACAGGAGATGAGTCTTATACGCCGGGGGCCAGTGCTGAGAATGGTATGCACACGGAGATAATGATTAACTCTGGTCCCACACGTCGGGGAGCGGGAGTGTAGACAACTGAGGCTCGCATACGTCACCATTACTAGAACTGAGGCAGAATGAGTGACAAGCGATTGTAGTGGTAATTGGTAGTGAGTAGATACGAGGACGTGCGTGGAGTATCATGAGGTGGTGCTATGGTCACGTTGCCTTCTGCAAGAGTCATTCTAGCAAGTGGCGATTGTGTTGCAAAATGTCAAGAGGAGGCCCTTATCTGCGGGTGCAGGTCGTCATCGATATGTGAGATTGTGCTGTGGGCATGCTTGTGGTGTGTTGGCTTTTCTGTTTGTTTTCCATTTCAGCTCTGTCCGTGTGACCCAGGTTCTCGCAATGGCATCCAAGTCAACGTGTATTGGTGGTGATGGATAAAAGGGATGGATCCTTTTTTTGCCGGGGAGTGTCAATATAGTTGAAGATTGAACGATCAATTCTTGGTTGTTTGCTCAAAACCAACTTCCCCAATTTTCGTAGAGGCATCAATACTACAGTCATCGTCTCATCGGTCGCTGTTCAGAAAGAAGTCATTAGCAAACCGTCAGAAGTAATATTGTGATTTATTATTGTAATATTTGTCCACAGAACTTAGTGATAACATTTTTTATATGTTGGTGTTACAATAAAGAATTCTCGAGTGGCCAATCGGTGTTTTGGTTTTTGCATCCGTTATTACTAAGCGTTTCTGAGAAACTTCAAGGAACGGCGTGAGTCCCAGTGTAGCAAGAGTTGGGCATTGACGGTTTACGAGACGTGGCTAACACCGAGAAATTGATAAAGAAGACATTATTGTAATCTGTGATGTTATCTCATTATATACTATTATCTTTATTACCGAAATTCTTGATATTATTTACAGTCTACTAGAATCAGATACAACGCTATCACAAAGATGTCCACTGGACACCAGTGAAATAATTAAGAGCCTAAAATTCTGTCTAGAAAGTAATTATTTGACATTTAAAGAGAGTTTATATAGACTGAAAAATGGTGTTGCTACGGGTTCACCAGTCTCCCCAATACTCGCCGACATTTTCATGAATAAATTCGAAAATAACATCTTTTCAAGCATACTCACTCCTAAAATATGGATAAGATATGTAGATGATACTTTTGTAGTACTGAAACGAGTTCTACACAGTTCATTCCTGGAGAAAATAAACTGTGAATCTACCGGAATTCAGTTCACCTCGGAAGCAGAATCAGACGTCGGCGAAATACAATTTCTAGACTGCCTAGTTAAGAGAAAGGAAAAAGGACATTTAAGTACATCCATATTCAGGAGGAAAACCCACTCCAATAAATATTTAGACTTAAGATCATCGCACCCTATCAGCGCAAAGATTTCAGTTGTTTCAAGTCTTTTTAGACCAGCACACTCTCTGATGTTAACAGATGAGAAAGAAAAAGAAGAAGAAAGTCATACATTACTGAAACTATCAAGCACAACAACTACCCAAGGAACTTCATCAACAAAATCAACACAGACATTAAGTATGGTCGAGAACGTATTCCGAAAACATGGACATCAACAGTCGTCATTCCATATAGAGCAGAGACGTCAGACGAAATCAGAAGAGTACTCAATCAGCTTGACATTAGAGCTTTCTTCAAAACATCAGACACACTTCAAAGCAACCTTGTCCATCCATTTAAAAGACCAAATCCCGAAAGATTCTCTATCTAATTATGTCTATAAAATAAAATGCTTGGAATGGGATGCGATCTACATTGGACAAACATCTCGAGAAATCAAAATCAGAAGAAATGAAAACCGTAGAGCATTTCTTCGACCACCGAGAATTCCGGTTGAACTAGAGAAACTTGAAAAATCATCAGCCATTGAAATAATCCTGAAAAACTTCAGAAATTACAAAGAACGTCTAATATCAGAAGCACTTTATATCAAGTGGAATCCCGAATGCCTGAATAGGAATGATGGACTGAAACAGAATTTGACCTGGTTACAACACCTTCCTCCCCCATTAAGTGACAAAATCAACACGAGTGTGATCAACAAGTTCAATATGTAAACACACACTGCTTTTATAATTGTACACACTGATCAAATCCAACGATCTACACTTGATTTTGTTATCTTTACCAATTGACCAGCTTGACAACGAAAAATGACCCCAGACAAACGATCGATGATCAAGTTAGTAAACCTTATTTTGATATCATAACAGACGTCCTATTACCCTTGTTATTTGGTTTAGTGATCTTCATTGCTATTTTGACTTTCAATGTGTCCCTTTAACTTGACCTAAGTCTATTTTCTCACGCCTTAACTCTTTGTTATATATATGCTTAGATTTTGTAAATTTCGGTTTGATAATTCTCTGATAAAGCTATTAGCGTTAAATAGCGAAATGTCAGGAAAAAACAATATCGTTTTGTTTTTCATTCATTGGGCACTACAAAAACCTTTATCATAATGAGGATCAAACGCTGTCAAAAATGAAATCATGATAATGTTTTCAATGATGAAAGGGAGGTGATGTTGAAATGGAAAGAATGTATTCAGAAACTATATCACTCTGACTGTGATAAAGAATAATGTTTAACAAGATATTTTTGGCTGCAAGCTTTACTTTTTTGTTCATGTGCGACTAGTCCTTCCCTTGTATATATATAAGTAGTGGGGGTGTATACTTTTAGAATGATTAAATTTTAAATTATACGGAGCTAACTAACCCTACTTAAGATGTCAACAAATAGAAGACTTCATTAACCAGCGTTCATTTATCGTCGACCAAAGGGGATAATTTTTGGCTACGCGCAGCTTGAGAACTCACTCACAATGCCCAAAAATCAGCTGCCCAGAAGCGAGTGAAAGAACAAATTCATACAGAGGTGGATGTAGTAGTTATTTTAATAATAATAGTAATTTCACTCCAAACAATAATAACTGTGCAGTAATTTATGTCCAAATCGAGTTCACTATTAACAGTGAAAAATTTGGTACTGGGTACATGATATGCATTATCACAAAAGTTCCTGCATTCCCCAATGAATGAAAAATAAAACGATATTGTTTTCACAGACGTTTTGCTACTTAATGCTAATAGCTTCATCAAAGTTTTATTAAACGAGAATTTACAGACTCTTAGCTTACATATAGCAATTTATTCATCATTCAACAACATGGGATAATTTTTATGTTGTCAAGTTGGCCAACCGGTAAAGATAACAAAACCAAGTGGAGATTTTCGGATTTGATAAGCTCATAAAATTACGTGTTTCCATAATGAAATCACTGATCGCATTCGTGTTGATTTTGTCATTTCATAAGAAGAGGGTGTTGTAACCAGGTCAAATTTCGTTTTAGTCCATCATTCCTATTCAAACAATTTGGATTCCACTTGATATGAAGTGCTTCTGATATTAGACGTCCTATGTGAATGATGAAATTTTCCTGATTATTTCACTATTGTCAGAATCAATTTTATGACCTGATTCTATAGTGTGTAGACTTATGGCTGATGAATTTCCAAACTTTTCTAGTTCAGCTAGATTTCTTGGTGGTCGAACGGTTACTCTACGGTGTTCATTTCTTCTGATTTTGATTTCTCTCTGGTGACTTTTGTGCGATGTAAATCGTATCATATTTCAAGCATTTTATCATGTTGACACAAGGAAAAGATTGTTTTCAATGTATCTGTTGTTTTGAAGAAAGCTCTAGTTTTTTGCTCATTGACTACTCCTTTGACATCGTCCGATGTTTCTGATCTATTTGGAGTGACAACAGATGAGACACATGTTTTCGGAATACATTTTCAACTATAATTAATGTCGCTGTTGATTATGTTAATGAAGTTCTTTGGATAGTTATGAACGATGATTAAGTTGTTATATATATCTTGAGGTTTTTCAAAATGTATTGTGCACACACATCACCCATTTTTTAGGTAAACTCCATTTTCTAATTAGGCTATCCAAATAACCCAAACAGCTTCACCTTCACATCTTTGTTATTAACAGAACTATTGTCATCGGGATGAATAGCTGCACAGTTTATATGCACAATCTTCTCATCCTACTGACAAATCACTGTGATTAATTTATAAAGTTGTGTGCATTCGAGTGATGTCTGATGAGACAACATTGTTCACTGACATGCGTTGCTCTGAAATTTTTATTTCTATCCGTGCTTTAATGAACTTATTGGTGAGATGACGAGACAACGACTTCAGCATTGAATGACAAAGTGTCAGCTACTACTATCCGCGATCACACTAATTTCTGAAACTGCCTTAGCACGTAATTATCTGCCTTAAATCAACACCTGTTTTTCACGATATTTAAAATTTCGATGCGACAAATTTCGATGGATTAGGTGTGAGTAAGTAATTATTCTGTGGTCAATCGGCTCACAAGTTTATATTTCACGTTAAGATGTAAATATCCTCGAAATCGTTACTGTATGTTATTGCAGATTCGTCACATTTACTAGAGGTCAGTTCAGGCAGGAATATTCAGTGAACGTTTCGAAGGCATCCTTCCCCACTTCCAAAGAATTATCATGAGAATATTATTTATAAATTTATTCTATTTAAAAAGAGTAGTTACAAGTACTCAGTTCAACAGGGATGAAATAAATCAATTACGAGGTAATCCACCTATAACCAGTGACTCAATGTCACATTCGTCTTTTCCACGTAAAATTCTGAAGTATCCTTTCTCTCCCCAATCTTCATTCCACGAATTGGCAATCAACCAATAAGGGGTACCCTTCTCTACACCCCATCCTACGATTCTAACAGTATGTACACCAATTTCAGTTCCTTTCATATGTTTGTAAATTCCAGATTTATAGTTAAGGAAATCTGAATATACTGTGAAAGATGATCCCACTGGTCCATGCATCATAATTTCTTTTTTGATTGAATCTTCGTTATTAGGTACGTTGTAAGCCACCTTACCTAATGAATGAATGGTAGATAAAAGTGAGAGTATGTAAAGTATCATTATTAATGTGACAGAAGCAGGTGTTTACCTAAATTTTTCACCTAGTTGAATGAGTACATGATAATTATTTACAGCACTATCTAAGCACATGAGAATGATGTAATGATGACTACATAAATCAGTACAGAAAATATTCTGAACAGTATAACATTGTTAGAAACGGTAATTATAAATTTATCCTCCTCAAATGAGTACACTAATAAGCACTGAGGCCGTATAGTGCCAATCAGTGAAGTCAAGAATTTCCAGACACCATGAATTGAATAACTAGATGCCTATTCACAGGTTTCTTTACTATTTCCGTAATCTATTGTTGTTTTTACTGTCCCACTATGTTCTTTTATTACACACAATCCATTTGAAATCGTCTTTGAATTCAGAAGCGCATAATGGAGCTCACTTCTCAAGAACAAGTCACAGATAACTGATATTACCCAGGTGAAGTTGAATCCGTTTGCTCATCACTAACTGGTGTTGTCGAGTTGATGCTTTATGATATCAAATGTACTACAACCAAAAATGGTTACTTCTCTTATTCTCTGTAATGTATAATGCGTGAGTGGATTAGGTACTGATAAAAGTAAAGTGGACAACACATATTTTAATTGTCTTCAGTTAATTCTCATACACCACAATTCTCACTAATATTCTCCACATACGCGACTAATTGGTCATTAGAATACAGTTGTTTTTAGGCAGAAATGACACACTTCCTGACTATTTTGCATATTCATCCTTTCATATTCGATGCTCTCCTCTATGTGGATTACTAACACATCGTTACTTGGGCAATTTAATTTAATAGGATTTAATCCACAATTTGTTTTGGAAATCATAAATATAAGTGCTTAGTTATCTAGTTTGTTTGACGTCCTGATGATATGCACTATAGGACTGATCCCTGGAACTATGGTCTCGGTGGTTCAACAGTAGATCGCTCACGAATGACACACCTGGTCCGGGATTCGCCCCCTGGCCGACGTACTCCTTTACCTCGCTAAGCCAGTGGTAAGGCCAGTAAAGGGGAGAAACTGGGCATGAGGCTGGCAATCACACCCTGTTAAAACAAAACCTCTACTAACGAAACTTTCACTTGGAACCTCAAGGGGTAAAATAATAATTAAAATAAGTTATCGAGTATACTAAATACTATTACTATTAAATAGTACATTCCGTTGGGAAAAATCACACAAAACTCTTCACAGAAACTTTGAGGATTAAAATTTTCAGTGGTATATACTACAAAAAAAATCATGTATCGAACTCCAAGTCATTGTCAAGTCATGCTCACAGGGATTCGAAGACGTCAAAATATTGAGTAATTATAGTCAAGACAGAAGATGCCAATGACCAGCCCTGGTTACAATATCGTCTCAGTTTTACGCGAGAACAACTGTGGAAGTTATCCATCAGTAAGTATGCATTATGACTATTTCAGTATATATATATATATATATATATAGTCATGGATGGTCTGAAAACAAGTGTCATGAGAATTTCTCATTCATTCTTGATATATAATCACGGTTGAACTGTTCGTAAACACTGGAGAGACGAAAATAATAATTTAAATTTAGAAAATATTCGGTATTAACAATAATGTTTTTTCATTCCTTTATGTTCCCAGTGGAACATGGGGCTTCAGGCTAGAGTAATGAAGTTTCGGTAACAGTGGTATTTATTTTGATAAGATAGGGTTGCTAGCCTCATGCCCAACCTTCCCTCTTCGCCAGTCTTACTGCTGGCTCAGTGAGGTAAAGGACTGCATCTGTCGCCGGAGATCGAAACCTGAACTACCTGAGTCGTTGGTGAGCATTCTACCGCTGTGCCATCGACGCCCATTAATAATAATAGTGTGGGGGAATTAATCCATTAGGATTAGTCATAAGAAATTCGATAAGGAAAGTCAACTCCTATGTTACTCTATTGTTAACATATGCCGGCCTGCTTCAATCACTGCGCTACTAGAATTCCCTTCCCTCAAAATGCTTGAACTCTTCTGCATTTCTTATTGTTTAAATCATAAAGTTATATCGGAAAATCACTACATGAATCCGCGAACATATTTCAATAACTCTTAGTTACACGCTAAGCAATCTGTGAAGGGAAACGTAGAAAAAGTGTACAGAACTGATTCTGTGTTCCTGTGCAACAACAATAATCAACAGAATGTACTTCAGATTATTACTTGACATGTAAATCCTGTCTGAGGAGGAAATATATGGGACGAAATGCGCTAAAAATGTCTATGCTGTGTGTTCATATTTTGTGTGAAATGAAGCTACATTACTATTATTACTATAAAATCCACTTGCTAACGACATCAGTGTGCCGTTTCGCAAATACTCATCAGAATAGAAAATAGAAGAAGCATTTAACTGTACATTTTCAGTGAAGAATTTACGCAATCTCAACGAATTTCATCATCATCAACTCTACTTACCATAGTGCTTGTCTTTCTTATAGGGTGTTTTGTACCCTTTTTGACACTTCTTTTGACATTTCGGTGTCTCGTAAATTTTTTGACCACATGCTGGATACTTTCCTGTAGTATTATGTTCGCATTTAGGGAATGGATATGGTTGACAGCCTGTGTGATTCTCTCCTGAACTGCCAGTAACAACGCCTTCTTCTACCCAGTAATCCCAGGCTGATCCAGGAAATCCTCCGAGGCAGCCCAAACCACATTCCCTACAACAGCTGAGTAGATCGACTGCACTTAATTCGACAGATTTCTTCCCTTTCGACTGAATGCAGATACGATCACTCATTACTTCAACTGCAGCGAATGCCTGAAAAATGATAAAAGGAATTTCCCGCATATATTACAGCAGTGTATCCATTGCTCTTCAGGTACCGGGAAAATATTTATAGTGATCAGTGTGATGAGAATATTAATGATAATAGTGACTTTACTTGCTACAGTTCAAATGTATATCGCCAAACAAAACACCCTACTTACAGGTCCTGGTGTCCTTCACAAAGTCTTCTTAAAGTAATCCACGAAAAATAAGCAAAGCGAAAGAGACAACAAGTTGTTAAAGTTAAAACAGTGTCTAAACCTTTGTATGTAGAATGTTAAGTGAAATATTTCCCCGGAAATCAACTGCATTGGGCAACCAGCAAAATATCACGGGACAAGCGTATTTCAAGCTACTGAACACTCAACTCAGTTTCCACTTCAGTCCCCTTCATATGACTGGAGTCGTGAGGATGAACCAGGTCATTTAGGCTACAATGATATATGATTCGCCTGATATTTGGATGGATTCAGCTTACGACCACTTTACAAGGACCACTGGCTACTTTCTCATATTTATGCCATTCATTTTAGGAGAATCTCAGTGGGGAGTAACAAGGCAAAGGAAACAGTCAGCTCATCAGTATATTTGACTAAATTAATTTCGTTATAATAGGGGTGAATGGCTCAAGGAGAATGAGGAGAGCAAAGTAGAAGGAGCAGAAGCTTCAGGGACATTGGCTTTAGTAACCTATAAGGTGAAAGAGCTTCATTCGTATATTCCCCAATTTTCACTTAAAAATCCAGCTCTCATTCTGCGTCACAACCAACTTGCTTAAATAAAGAGGTCAAAGGAGGATTTATAGTCTATGTAGTCACAGTGGATGCACATGGCACCTTTGTTTCACCTGGCAATGCAATTACAATGAAAATCAGATACAACTTCCGAATCACTTCCTCGGTATTTGTAAGTCAACTGTTTTGGATCATTCAGAGTCATTAGTGAAGGTTGACTATTATGTAAGAGCGATTTTCCCACATTTTTCACAAAGTATGAGGTAATAGCAGTGAGTCTAAGGTTCGCACATCATTGAGTGAATGATTTAACTAATGGTACAATCTTAATGGCCTACCAAACGACGCGGAGTAAAAGCTTCAGGAAATAATACATTGAAAACACCAGTAACAGGACAACAGTAATATCCGCATATTTTCTGAGATTATTACTTAACACGTCATCTAAACACAGGCTTTGTGAAGAATTTAGGGAATGAAACCCTTTAAAAACATCAGTTGTGTCAAGACAAGGAAAGAATTGATTATTTTGATTTGTAACAAAAGAAAGCTCAGCATATGTGGACAATATATGAAATAATCGCTAAGGCCACAAACAGATTTCTAGATAATATTCAGGTTATATATGCTACAAGACTGCTCAAACTTACCCAGCCTGAACCACATCGAGATTGGTCATGAATACTCGATATACTTTTACACTGACTCCACTTCTTTCGTGAGTCAAAGGTCGATGGTATTTCCAAGCTCACATTTTGATGGTCAACTGTTGGTCGTCTTTTCTTCCTTAACTTTTCATCCTCACGCATGACACCGAGTAGAATTCGTGCGTCTTCAACGGATTTGAATCGATCACTTCGGCTAGCTGTCCAACCAGCATCAGGCTGACAAATGAAGGAGAGGGATGAGAAGTCAGTGCTCAAAATAACTGAAACAAATTAACATTGTTACTAAATGATGCGAAACAGTGAAGTAAATCGCTTCTCACTCTTTGACTGTTTTTATCGGTTGGGATGATTTTAGATTCTGAGTCGTATCATCGTCGAACAGGAATCCAAGTGAATGTACACCTACGTGCTAGAAAAGCCTTCACAATCATAGTGTCACACAGAATATTAGATGGTTTGAGGCAATCGGCGGGTGACCTTGGATAAATGATTTCGTGCTTGTTGGCACTCGTAATCAAGGCGTATCTGCGAATTTGTGGCAACCCATATCCTGTCTGAGATTTGAACCCGTGTCAACTTGTGCTGCAGTCAGAAACGTTGCCACTGAGCTGTTCGGGCTGACGATTGACCTCCTAAGGGATTATATTAGATACTTTGACTTGACACTAGATGGTAAGTAGTTAGTGTCATGAGTCTAGTCTTTTGTTTTATGCAGTCTGAATTCTGTTAGTCAAGTGTTCACGAAACTTAGTTGCAACGCTTCCTGCTGACTGCTTCCAACCATCTAACGACAACAGTTCGGAGCGCAGCGTCAAGCCAGCCACATTGCAAACTTGACTGATAGAATTCAGTCGTCACCAAATAAAGGACTAGACAAGTGAAAATAGCTACTTACCATCTAGTGTTCAACTGGTGTCACACAAAATCCCATAACAAATTGGAAGACTGAACTTGAAGACTGAGGCGAATAAAACGTGTGGTGGTGCGAAATATAGAGGCTCACTTCAAAAAATTTATTGTTTACAAACGATTTCAGTAAGGATGAATTAGTTTCTGCTTTGGTGACAAAATTGACACTTGAATGAAACATAGACGAGTGGTCAAGTAAAGTAGACTATCGTTCTACATAGAATAACGAAATCACGAACTGACTTCAGATAACCGTTTAACAGAATTTATTCTTCATCCCAAGAAAGAGTATTGATTGGTGAGGTGTGTTTCGCTGCTTGTCACTAGACATTTCTGCATCGAACACATTCCGTCAATTCATCACATTAGTAGATATTCGATAGTGAGAGTGAATGAGTGTGTATCACATAAGTAGTATGGTTAGCAGTAGGGCAGTCAGGAAATATTTTATTGAAAGTGTAACTTACATGCTGATTGATATACGCAATTATTTCATCTGATAGGGGTTCGAATTGCATCTCATTGCCGGTGAGTATGTGAGCAGTGAGGATGCTCATAAAGGAGACAATACACAACACTGTATTCCGCATTCTTCACTGGGTGACGAGGTGATGGTCAAACTATACAAATGTCTTCATATCTTCTTATTCTTTTATAAATAGTTTAACTGATGATGACCTTTGAATCATAATATGGTGATTTTTTCTGTTTACTCTTCACTTCATCTTATGACTCCTGTTATGGAAACAGTTCTGTGTGTTAATTCTGTTTGATTCTGTATGTATCATTTTGTTCAAAGTACATGAAAATAGTCTTCTCAGTAAACATCAAAACTATTTTATCTATGTAGGTGTAATTCGAGTCGAAGAGTCTTATTCACAATCAACTAAATTAAAGTTGAAAGGAGGTACTTTGAACATTCAAATAGCAATATTGTTTGTTTATAATGGTTTGTTGTATTAATCATTCACTGAGAAGAACGAAACCATAACTGTTAGATAAAAATACAAAATTGAATGAAAAGAGATGTGCTCATGGACTGATTTGAGAGTACAAATTTTGAGGTTTCTATTGATTTGTTTGTCAAGATCTTTGACAGATTTATCACAGCGTAAATAATCAACTCATTCTGTCAGGTGTGTTCTGCAAATCTGTATTATTTCGGGGATCCTGATTGCTTCTTTGAACATATTGTGACGTTCTACATCATCTAGAACAATAAGGGTGATTAAATTTTAGTTGAAAACATTCACTCCACTAGTAGATGACGTACTGTCACAACCTGACTTCATACTAGAAGTATTGAGATCTACGGTTATTTCCAAAGCTTTCTGAAGGGAATGCAGTCACAGCTCAACAAACAGACGCTGAGATGATCTATAACAGCCTAAGTCAAGTAAGTGTTTAATTATGACCCGATCAGATAGATGTGAGGGTGTATTGCAACTAGACAAAATTGATGACAGAGATGAAATGCAAGTCGTTGTAGACGATGAAACCGATTTCTGGGAAGTGAAGGAATCTTTTCTATGACTTCTCCTACCGACACTGAAACCAGAGAGTCAATGGTGAGCTTGAAACATAACGTGTTTTCATTTAACTAGTCAGCTCACCAACTTGGGAAATCTATATGTCGTGCGATTCCAGACTTTCCTTGCCTATTAAACACTAGTTAAGCTAAATGTAGTATATTATAAAAGTTAATCTGAACGAAGAACATTCTTTTCAATAATTTCTCCTCTTCAGGATCATATATTTATAAAGCATACTATTTGTTGTCGTTACAATAATACCCAGTTATACAGCGGATACATTTTTACGTAGACTTATAATAATGATAATAACCACTCTATTCCAAACAACAATAGTGATTATACACAATGGAATTTTCAGAGCTTTACATACATAATGCAACAACTTAGCTCCTCTTATAAATATGCGCTTACATTAAATTTAAAATAGTAATACTGATAATGTTAATAATCAAATCACTGTAAACAGAATGTTGGGGGAAAATTAATGAAGTATAAGTAGATAGTATCATAGATAATACATGCAATGAGAATCTCTGCTTATACTTTACAGTTTATATGTTCTTTTCTAAAATCTGGCTCTTTCTTCAAAAAAAACCCGTGCTAAGTATGGTAGTATGGTAAAATTTTTATATTTACTTCTACGAGCGTAAATTCTTATGAAGTTTGTCCTGCTTTTATCTGAAGATTTACAGGGCAAAATTTGAGAACAAAGAGGATGTTCAGTATCAGACAAGATAACTTTAGTCTACTACTTAGAAGAACTGAAGTACCTATTGACAATAATGTCAGTTAGTTAAGTCAAAGGCAAATCTACACCACTAACTCTATGTAATATGACATAGACATTTTGAGAAGTCTAACAAGGGAGAATAATTACGAATAACAAAGGAGATGGATGGTCAGAATACATGGATTAGCAAATTGTAAAAGAGGAGATTGAACTACTGAAGAAAGTTTCAATTTCTTCATTTAATAAGTCAAAAGAAACATTTCTTCAGAAATTCACAGGATGTGAGACGACCAACTGAGAGGGATTCGAAGAGAAACTGGTGACGAGATGGAAGATATTTCACTTACTCTCTATGACAATGCCGTCAATGTTACAGGAAGCATGCGACTGAATCAGTCAGTGCACTCTAGTCATCTTCGCATCTGAAACCAAAATCAATAATATGACATCTAGATGGATTCAGTTTAAAGCCATTTAGGTGGGACCACTTGTTATCTTCAGATAAGAGTCTATTCATCATATCAGAACAATCCGAAGCAGAAACTATTGGGACAGAAATGGTCGGATAATTGGCGTATTTGATGAAGTTAACTTTGGAAGAATATGGAAGGTCATGCAAGAAGAAAGAAAGAAGGGATGGAGAGAGTAGAGTGCCTTGTAAGGCACTTCAATTCCTGTTAGCAAATAATCGGAGAGTTTTCCATTGAAAAAAGTATGGTGTTCTCTACCCAAAAAATAAGCAGATAGCCACCTTGTGACTCAGGACTCAGTGTGAGCTAGAACGAACTTGCCTAGTAAAAGCATCCCAGGAATAGAGTCAAAAGCAGCATTGCAGTCTAAAAAGGAGGCTGGAACAAACTTTTTGCCTTTATCAAGACTTGAAACTTAAAACATCTAAAGTGCTTCTACTGCATTTGTAAGCAAAATGATTAGGTTCATTGAAAGATTTCAAAAAAGGTTTAAGAACATGAGAGAAGTCTCCCCATGGTTTTCAAAAGTAAAGATATGATGGTGAGTGGCCTAAACTTTAAACGTGATCCAGAAGATGACTTGGTACAAGCACTACCTTTGTTTCTTTCCATGCAACAGGTACTGTATCCTTGTGAAATGATGCATTGAAGATTTGAGTAAGAGGATAATACAAAATATTAGCAGACTTTTGAGGCAAAGTGCTTTGTACACCATCTGCCCCCAGGCTGTGTGATGGATTTGAAGATTTGCGAAATGTTAATACATCTTTTTCATTGAAATTAGGGAAATGAGCATATATGTGACTAGGAACATCAGGTCCAATCATATTAGCTTGTTGCATTATAAAAGATCTATTTGAGGCATTTACATAAAGATAAGCACCAAGTGAAATGTGTTTTCTTCTCGTAAGTTGATTAAAAAGTTTCCCGATGTTAGAAGCATTCTGAGATGATGACAAATTTCCTTATATACCCCATTTAACCTTTATACTTCGGACGTTATCAGAGAGTTTATTCTTCAAATGCCTGCATTATCATGTGATTTATACAAATTCTGTTTTTCTCTTCTAAGTTTTTCGTTGGGGAGATGAGATACTATCGAATCTCATGGACAGTGAGTGTTTCAGTAGGACAGCGAATGTTCAGATAGAACTTGACATGGGAAGTGATATTGGAGACAGCAACGTCTGACACCTCATCAAAGAATAAGTCTCAGTCAGTATCATGCAACCCACAACTTAGTGCTTGAATACTGTCATGTGAATAAGATGGCTCTTGAATTTCCTTTGTTAGGTGAACAAAGACCCTTCTTTGTAACTTCCCATACACTTTCGATAAAATACAAATGATGCAGGGGTCAGGATTCAGCGATGGACCTCTCCTTTGCACTTTGTGTATGTCGCCATCGTTAGTTTCGTCCAAACGAGTATTGAATTTAACCAGGTTCTCATGAGTAAGTGATTTGAGGAAGCTGTTACCACAAAAATTAAAGTCGCCGAAGACTATCGATGAGGAATTTTTCAAAAACAGTAGCAAAATATTTAGTGAATTCGTCTGCAATTGATATATCAGAGGGACTGCAGTTTGAAGCTATATAAACATTTTTTACGTTTAAATAGGAATATTTACTAAAGTGCTGTGGATGACACGTAGTAGTGATACAGTCTATATTGTCGTCGGGAGACTTAAGACATACATGATTAGATGTAGACCACTTTGCTTTAATAAAATCGGCTACCCCACTGCTTAGCTTTTTCTGTGAACTATATCTACCCTGATGGAAGAGACATTAGATTTTCACCATATTTTTGATAGATTCAAGTCTATTGTATAGCTAAAACACCAGCATTTCAATGCACATTTGATGATATTAGAGATTAAAGTTAGTCCAAAACTGTTAAGCATAGACCTACAGTTACTGCCTACAACTTCAGGGACGGTCGTACGAAAAATGGCGAAGTACAAGAATAGCGTCCCAGGAATGCGAACGCTTGGCATTAAGGCAGGATAAGGATTGTCATTAGGATTTTTGTTCGTTTTATTGCGCGCTGCCTACCACCCCATTGTTTTTCCCTGAATATCCGAGGATGACTCAACGCGAAAGGTTGCGAAGATTTTGAAATTCTTCGATTATAAATAATACGATTTGTAGATATTTGTTATTGATTGAAACAAAAGTACGGGAGCAAATCGAGAAAAAATATACGTTGGTTATCGGGTACCAAAATGAATAGAATATATATGACAAACGTGCTGTAACAAAATTATCGCCCGTGATAACACCGACTGCTGAGATTTTTAGTTTTAATTCACAATTATAAATTTTGATCATAATACTAAGACAAACAAGGGGCAGTTCAAATCCAAATGGGTAGACTAATTTGATTTCTTAGATGACTTACGGATATTCGAATATTTGTGTATTATTGTGAATTGCCAGTTGAAGGCTTATTGTATTGTTTTCTATGTAGGCCGATTCCAGACGATCGATGCATACAGAGTCTTCCAGAACATTTGTGTAGGACAAAGAATTTGTCCATACACTCAATGACTTTATATGGCCCATCGTAACTGGGTTCCAGATGGCGACTTACAGAGTCACGACGAACAAATACATGTGAAGAATTTTTCAAACACGGGTGAACAAAATTGCCCATGGATTTTGGTCGGAGGGAAGCAGGTTTAACTGAACGCAATGCGCCTGTAAGTCTGGTGAAATACGAAGCATGATCTACCACTGGTGGAAAGCTAGAGGGAGAAACGAACTCACCTGGCAGTTGTAGTGTTGCACCATCCACTAGCTCGGCAGCAGTATGACCAGAGTCAGGTTTCAATGCGTAGTGATTCAGTCCAATGTGCATTGTTTGCAGCCGATAACCCAGCCATCGGCTGTAAATTTAGACGTCCTAGCTTGAGGATGGTAGGCTGTTGTTCTGAAACGCATATAACCTATGATTTTAGACAGGGCAAAGAATAAGCTGCTTTCGAATTGCCGCCCACGATCAGTTGATGTGGAGTTTGAGCATCGAAAATTTTCCATCTATTATTCCACTTATGATTGTTTCGACAGATATATCCCTTAGTGGCTCTACTTCGGGCCTCCATGGAAAACGGCCAGTGCAGGTTAAGACAATTATATCCATAAGATTGTTGGAGTGGTGCAACCAAATCTATATGAACGTGTTCAAAGTGAGAGTCTGGGATAAGAAAGGTGCCAAGATGTTTCTGGTGTGTCTTGCTACCTTGGAGTTTTGGAAAGTTAAGCACATACGCGCTCATTCCCTTGCTTCCTTATTAATACCAAGGCAACAACATCGACTAGTTATGAGTCTGTCGGTAGTTCGTATACTTGGATGGGAAGAACCATGCAAAGTAATAAAGACGTTACGGTGACAACTCACAAACATAATGAGGAGTACTCGTGCAAATGTCCCACAAACTATTGTCTCTTCCTACGTTTTAGGGTTTCTCGGCTAATTGCAGAGTTGTTTTCGGCAACTCATGTTGAAACCCGGTATCTTCTCTTTGAAGACTAGTCAGTTTCACATGGTCTATGCCATCCGTTTGTGTGAAGGGACGGATGGGCGATGAGGAATCTGCCACAGTGTTATTCACAACGGATACTTGGCGAATGTTCGATGTAAACTGTGAAAGTTGCGAAAGCCGAGTTGTCATGATTCTCTCTGTGAGTACTTAGCTGAAATTAGGTTAAGATAATGCACAAGAGGATTTGAATCAGTGAATATTATGGATTCACGACCCTCCACCGAATGTCGGAAGTGGCGCATAGCACAATACATAGGCAGAAGTTCTGTGCCGAATGTGCTGTACCTGGTTTCTGCCAATTTTAGGCGCCTCGAGAAAAATTCCAGTAGTTGTCACTGTTTGTTGTTTAGTTGTTGCAGGACTGTGCCAACTGCAGTGTCTGATGCATCCACTGAGATTGTTTTGGTGCTTTATTTGAGCAAACTGGCGTCTACGTATATCCTAGTACTTCTTCGCGATTATTATTGTATCTCAACGTTTTGTTTGCTTGACATCCACAACGTTAATCAAAAGGCACTTGAGAAGGAGTACGAACGTGTAATAACGCAGTAATCACAATTTAAAAGTTGAGCGAGTACAAGTGTATCAATTGATAACACGCAATCTTTCGAGTGATAAATAAATCAAAATCCAATTACATAGTGTGAGTATACTACGATGAAGTGTAATAAAATGGGTCTCTACAAGGTAATTAACGGTGCCGCTGGATCTTGATAGATAAGAAGGGTGGCATCCTCAATAGCTTTTGTAACCTAAATGGAAGCATTTTTAGCAGAAGCGTCAAGTTCAATGGACTTGTTATTCAGTAGAAGAAGGTGTGCTAGCTGCTGAATCGATGAGGCACAGTTAGAAACAGAGCGTTGGCAATAACTTATCAAGCCATTAAACGTGCGAAGAGTTTTCAACGTATTTGACTCCAGAAAGTTCAGAATCGCCTCAGCGTTACTAGAGAGTGGGTGAATACTCTTGCATTCACGGGTATGGCCAAGAGTGTTGAGTGATTCTACTTCTATCTGACGCTTTTGAATATTAATGTTAACACAATGTTGGCGTAACCTTTCGGACGCCAAGTTCAAGTGTGTGAGATGAGTTTTCATGTCTGGACTTGCAATGAGGCAATCGTCTGAGTTTGGGTATACAACGTCAAGACGGAAAAATACTTCATCAACGAATCGTTAAAATGTTTTTTCTGCATTCTGGAGACCAAATAGGATACTCAGAAAGCCATAATGATAGCCGTTTTCGGAATGTCTTCGGGCGTCATAGGGATTTGTTTGTATGCTTTAACTGAGTCTATTTTCGAAAAAATAGTTTCACCAGATAGTGTTACTTTTAGTAATGTATGTGAGGTGGTGGATGACAGTCAGGGGTCACTTTTGTGTTCAAATACCAGTATTCACCAGTGGGTCTCCAATTGTTGCTATCTTTTTTGATATCATTTGGAATGGGGATGCACACAGACTATTCGATGGTGGAATGATGACAAGGGTGAATATACGGCCGAACTCATTTCTAGGGAGTCTCAGTTAGTCAGGAGCAAATCGTCGTGATTCGTTGTCACGGGCTGTCCGGAGGTTATGACGTGATGCATAACATTGCTGGTTATGCACGACAGGTCGTTAGACGGGGACTCAAGCGCCGGGTACATATCAACAAACGGTTGGAATGTTGGATCATCTACAGTCTACTTAACCAGGCACAAGTTGTGATCTACGCAGGTGACGCCTTTAGTATACCGTCTGTTAGCACTGTAGAGGTAAATAATTCCCCAAAATTATTGACCACAGCAATCACTCACCATTGGATGCTGACCACCACTGTTTAAGTCGACTTGTTTATCTGAAGGCTTCCGGTCAAGCATCCCCGCCATTTGGTACCCCGTTGTGTCACTTGCACGATCAGTAGCTAGCTAAGCGCTCGTCTAACGGCTTGTTTTTGTCCCGAAATATATCACTTAGTTTGGACGATCAAATATTGGCTTTTGCTTTGTTGTTGGTACGCGAGAATAACTTAGAGGCTGTGTAAGAGAATTCCGCCAACCAAAATCTGGTGAGGCCGACCGCGAACTTCATCCACGATAAATCCGGTGAGTTCGTTCCATTTTGTATTTGTTCTTGTACCATATATTATTCGACATAATTTTCGTCATGAGTGATCTTAGTCCCAAGGTCATCCGTATCCGCTCAACTCCTAAAACCATTCAGCTCGCACCATACTGGCCAGATAACGCTGAAACTTGGTTTCTGCTAGCTGAAGCAGATTTTTGTGAGCATGGGATAACTGATCAACGTTCACAGTTACTTGTAGTTATTCACGCCCTACCGCGGGAATTCAGCAAGTACGTAACATCACAGATGTTCAGTCCCGAGGTAAGTAACTCGTACGAGTTCCTCAAAGCATCCATCCTCAGGAGAAACGTTCTCACGGACCGAGAACGTCTGGACGAATTATTTCGTAACATCGAGTTGGGAGATCTGTCAGCCGTGAGCATGCTGACAAGAATGAGAGAAGTTATTGGCCAAAGTCAGTTCGACGAAGGACTATTTAGAGAACTCTTCTTATCCAAGCTGCTACAGTCTGTACAGACCGTACTTGTGACACTTCAGGGTACTGTAATAGAGGACTTAGCTATTACTGCAGATAGGATTCTAGAAATAACTAAACGGTCAGTTCCCGAAATATGCTCGATGACTAAGCAGACTTCGAGTAAGGATCCTGCAATGATAGAGTTATGCAACTCCATCCAACAGATGTTTAGGTCAAACATGACCTCTAACTCCTCCGAACGTCGTCCTAAATCTCCTCAACGCAGGAACTCACGTGGTCGATCTAAGTCCAAACCACGTTCACTGAAAAACCCTGACTGGTGCTGGTACCACAACACCTATGGCCAAGAAGCGAAGTGTTGCCGTAAGCCTTGTAACTTCGGAAATGTCTCAAAGTCTGCGGGAAACTATCCCGCCGGCACGCGTTAGCGGCAACCGTCGCCGGTGGCACTAGCCGCCTACTTTACATCCATGATGTGATAAGCCAGACTCGATACTTAGTCGACACAGGAGCCGAAGTCAGCGTCCTTCCTGCTACAGCGGTAGATCGACAGAAGGAACCTACCTTCAACTTACAGGCTGCAAATGGAAAACCAATCGCAACCTTTGGTAGGAAATACGTCTATCTGAACGTAGGTTTACGCAAACCTATTCGATGGATTTTCCTTCTCGCTGACGTTACAATGCCCATCATTGGCACGGACCTACTTAATCATCATGATTTACTCGTAGACGTCCGCCGAAAACGACTGATTGACAATACTACTAGTCTGTCTATCAAAGGCATCAGCTACATAGGCCCTAGTTTGTCACCCGTTAAGATAAAGGCAATTCTTGATCCAACTTTTCAACCTATTGTTGACAAGTATCCGGAACTTAACTGCCCGTCGAACGACCTACCGTGCGTGCACCACATCATTACCACAGGACAACCTGTGACATCTAAAGCACGACGATTAGCTCCTGACAAACTGAGAATCGCCAGGAATGAATTTGACCATATGCTTATCCTTGGCATCATTCGACCTTCGAATAGCCCATGGGCATCCCCACTTCATATGGTTCCGAAAAAGGATAGCAATGATTGGCGACCCACCGGTGATTACCGGCAAGTGAATGCCAAAACAACCCCTGATTGCTACCCGTTGCCTCATATACACGACTTGACGGCAACCTTATCAGGCGCGACTATATTCTCCAAAATCGACTTAATTAAAGCGTATAACCGAATCCCGATGGCAACAGAAGATATCCCGAAAACGGCTATCATTACGCCTTTCGAACTTTTTGAATTTCTACGTATGCCATTCGGTCTCCGGAATGCAGCCCAAACATTCCAACGCTTCATTGACGAAGTATTTCGCGGTCTCGACTTCGTATACGCATACTTAGACGACTGCATCATTGCCAGTCCAGACAAGGAAACTCACCTTAGGCACTTGGACTTGGCATTTGACAGGTTACGCCAACATGGTGTCACCACCAATATTCAAAAGTGTCAAATCGGTGTTGACTCACTCGACTTCCTGGGTCACACTGTTGACTGCAGCGGCATTCGCCCACTGGCTACTAAGGTCGAGGCTATACTGAAACCGGCTTACTTGGAGGGTAATCCTATTAGCATAGAGCTCAACATACCCCGAGATCCACAAGTAACAGAAGATCGTTTAGACATCGATGAAGTCACTAGCACAGCGACAGCTACTGAACCTTCTTTTGAGCCTCCCATGAAAAAGCGTTCTGGACGTACCGTAAGGTTTCCAGAATGTCTTCCTACTTATTTGACATAATGAAGTCGTGTGATTCACGCAACTCATTCGTTTGTGGTACTAACTATTTTTTGAGGTATCAATTATTTTTATATACAGTACCACTGAACACAAAATTTTTTTTAACAGTTCATGTTAAAGGGAGGGTGGGTGGCGCTAGCTGATCAGTAGATATGGTGGTGGTCACTAAGGTGAATCGCCCCATTCTGCAGGAACAGCAATATACAAATTGAAGGCTCGAGATATTTCTGATTTTTATGAGGGCTTAGATCTTTATCTTGAAAAGATAATAGTGAACGCCTAGACAGATAATGCTTCTACCTTTAAATATATACCATTCGCTCAGCCTATTGTTGAGATGCGACCACGTGGGATCTGCACA